CTACGGTCTCCGAGGGTTCTGCATCGATTACAAACTTTTGTTGTTTGAGGTCCTGAAGAAGAGATACAGGTCAGATTGAAAGAAGGGCGAGAATGGTGGAGCAAAGGACAAGTAGGTACATACCTTGAACGTGAGCTTCATCTTGCGCCACCGAATGTTGAGAGATGGCTCGACAACGTGGGCGGAGGGGTTATGAGAGAAGACACTTGAAGGACGGGAGGGGGTGTAGTGGGGAGGGGCGACAGAGGGTTGCAGGGCTGTAGAGCCTGATGATAAATTGATCAAGAACGGTACTGAGTGTTAAGGATCTTTAGTAGGGAAGTAGATGAAGCAGAGGATGAAAGACCTGCGAAAGAAGCAAGGAAGAAGAAGAAATAGATGAGGATGAGGATGAGAATGGTTGATGACGAAGACGGATCATGAATGGCACCGAAAGAGGGAGAAGGAAGCCCAGAAGGTGGAGGGAGCTGGGAATCGGAGGCGGTCAGCACTCGCCGGTACCACCGCCACACTTTTTTCCCCTCATCCGCCAACTTGGAACCTCAGCCACACTTCCCTTTTCTGCTCACGAGTGTGTACCAGCAAGAGCTGAGTACGGTAACGTGACGAGTTTATTCTCGATCTTACTGGTGTACTGTATGTAATTCGAGTATGCGAAGTCCATCCATACGGTAGAGTCCTCTACTAGTACTCCGTACAGTGTACGGAGATATATTTCTCGATTCTCGCTCACCAAACGGCTCTTTACCCGACTAGAACTACATATGTATATTCTCATTCTCCTCAATAAGCTATTTCTACCTCTACACGAGGACGAAGAAAGAAAAAGAGAGAGAAAAAAAATACATATCAAAATAAATACATAAACAACACAATAGATAAATTGGGCTTGCCTATCCCAAGCGAGACTTTCTCCCATAATCTCATAACTGCCTTGAGACAAGGGACCTACGTTACCTTCATTCAAGCCAAATGAATAAATCTTCTTTCTTCCAAATGTATCAGACCAACCCTTCCATCAACCAACCAAGCTGCTAGCCGGCACGCCCCGTCCCGATCACACCTGCAGCTGAACACAATAGTGTTCCTTGTTGTTCACCCGGTGTTTCGTCTATCCTCCGTACACTCACTTTCATTGAGACTAGTAGCGTTGTCCCGTGGCGAGGATGGCAGCCCCACAGATCTATCGCATGGATGTATCACAACACGGCTGCAGTTGCCAGGAAGAAAGAGAAGAAAAAGAAGAAGAGGAAAGGGGAAAAAAATGGACAACTCAAAAATGATATACGAGAAGCCAACTCATTCCATTGCACCCCCAACGCTCATTCAAGTTCATAATTCATCTCTTGCCTGGAGAAATCGCTTAACGTTACCACTAAACTCTCTGCTCCAGGTACCTCGATTTTCATGCACCAATGCCATAACGACAAATGCATTCATGGATGAATCGCACCACCACCCATTTGGTTTTTTTTCGCTCGCCAAAAAGTGGGTGATATGTCGTATCTCTAGTTTGCAGCACCTGCGCTAATATTGCGCCCCTCCGTATCCCTTCCTGGAGCCCAGATGGTCGATCCTTCCATTAAAGCCTTTCCCGGAACTCTGGATATCATCCCGGCCGCCTTGTACAGGACGCCACTGAATCTTGACAAATCCATTCTAGACCTGTTCCACGCGGCTAAGGTACCTCTAGGATGCACTCATCCACTGCTGTCTCTAGTCAGTTCTGCGGCTGTAGCTACTGGCCAGCCATGATTGGGACATCTGGGAGGAAGGTATCCACGCATGTCAGATTGAGAACCAACCTCTATCGTCATGAACATGCCATCTCGGCCTCTAGGACCCAAACGATTGATCTCAGCATTGCATGACTGTATCAGATGTTGGATGAAGAACTCTTCATAGGAGCATGCCCGACTTTCCGGGTTCTCTCTGGTTTTTGGCCCCTCTTCGCTGCTTCTATGCCCGAGCTGAAAGAAAGGGCTTCAGAGACGAAGGCATGACAGCTGGCGAGACTTGCCCTCCACCCTAACTCAGATCGGGATCACAGTTGAACCAGTGAAGTTGGCATCTAACTCTTCGACATCATCGCTGCCAGCCCCTAGTCTGACTGACTAGTGGTAGTACCTATGATCGAGACCATTCGGTATGAACGTCGACCATTATCCGATGTAGTCCTCCTTCTGCAACCCCCCCCCCTGCCCCGCTGATCCCTAGACGTTGCATACGTGACTCTTCTTCGAAAAGTCCATGCATCTGGACTCAATTATCCTCGGGGTTCGACTTTTTCCCAAAGTCTTCCTTCTTCAGTTAATTAATTGACTTGCGATCATTCCCGGTTGCTGGGTATTTCCTCCGGTTCGACCCTTGTCTGTCACACCTTGTCCCTCGTTTATCATTTATCGAGTTCATATTGTTATTATTGTTATTATTATTATCATCGTCATTGCCAACTAGTCACGCCCACGATTTCATCCACCTCATTCCTTTTCATATCCAACATTCACCATCTTCTTCTCTCTTGGTTGTTTCCTGTGTCTTGGAAGTACCCGTCGTCTTTCTCTGATCATCGGCCAAATCTACACAGCCTAGAACGACACCATAGTGGCTTTCAGTATCATGAGAGAAGACTTGAGCGGGTTATGATCTATTGAGTTGCGACCAATAACTACCCCTTTCTGTTCCCAGCAATTGTTCAGGTGGCCTTGCTACCTCCTTCGGGCTAAAGCCTTGATCGTGTGGAAATAATCACACACGCACACACGCGCACCTTCAGTCTCGATCTTCTGTCCGTGCAGACCTCATTTCGATCTCATGTTGCTGAGCATCTTCAGGACTTCTCTGGCCCATATATTGGGAGGCTTCACCCTTTTGTCAACATTCATCACCACTGTCTTGGATGGTATCTGTTACAGTGTCTCCAAATCTCTATCATCGCACATTGCCTCGGTCGAATCGGCTATTGTGAGCTTGAGTGCAATCGACTGTGCAGTGATTATCGTATTGTTATTTCTTTGGGTCAAAGATGTCAGAGCAGAGGTGAGGGCGCAGTGGAGGGGTCACCGGGCTATTCTCTACGTTCTGATCGCCGTCTACCTCTCCATTGCCACCGGTATCACGGCAGGAGGAATCGCCTGGAGTGCAGTTCAGTCCATGACAGGGAAGACGACTCTGACCCACAAGCACCAGACCCTCATGCTAGCCCGCTGTATCATCTGGGCCATCTCCATTTTGAGCCAAGGAATCCTGGGTGGCTATCTCCTAACCTCGCTGACAAAACGTGATGGTGGTGGTCGATGGTCAAGTTCTCTTTCTCAGGAGCTTGAGATTATTCCCGACCAAGCCAGTGTTGGTGACAAGGACGACGTGGTGAAATCTCCGTCCATTATCCTTGAGTCTCCACGGCCTTCCACTGATGTGAAAAGAAGCTGCGACATTGTGCCGGAGCTTCAGCCTTCTGCTTCCCGTACAGAGTCTCAGAATTCTAATCGTTATTCCGGTCGGACGCTGTACCAACAGGACTCCAAGCAGAGCTCTTTCGACTTGCAGCGAACTCATATGGCGGGTACTGAAACTACAGTGACTCGTTCCCAAACAGACGACCCGGCTGATAACCCGACTGTCAACCCTTCTAGCATGGAAGAACGGAGTGAGCCCCTTAAGATTCGACGAAGCTACTCCGGGGCCAAACGATCTTTCGAAGGGTTGATCTGTCAGTCTTCGTCAACTCGATCGTCCCCTGCCACATCTTCCACGCATCTAGCGGCTCCTGGTCGACCTATTCCTCCGAAGCTGAAGCTCACCGACGAAAGCTTTATCCATCCATTGTTCCGGTCGGATAGTGCATCGCCTCCCCCAACTCCGATGCCAGGTACCACTGTAATCGCCTCACCGGCCGCTGGGCAGACCATCTCCGTGCAGGCCCTGAATCGAGTGAGATCGACCCGGTCTCTCCGGTCCCACGTACCCCGAAGCCGATCACCCTTATTTGAGCAAGTGGAGCAGCCGCCTGCCGGGCTGGAGCGGAAGTCTGAGTCTTTGGAACGCAGTGGTCGGGATTCTCCCATGCCCAGCTTCATCATGGCAGCAGATGTGCGAAGCAGCATCACCCGGTACGAGAAGAAATATGACTTGAATGAATCCCCTGACGAGAGCTAGTCAGACGAGCTCCTGAAGGCCACAAGGAATTGGGATCTGGGTCTAGATGCCTCTCACTTGTTGTTATCCTTGTTCTCCTTTGTTAGATATCCTAAATATAGCGTTCGGTGTACTTAGCAGTCCATATATATATATATATATATATACATAGTGCATGAGATGCAGCATGAGGTCTTTGAATCAGAGTCCGATGATCAATGAAGCAAAGGCTCGGAGCAGGCAAAGAAGAAGGTAAAGTAGCGACCGGTAGAAGGATAGCGACATCAGATTTCAGGGCACGGTTCCAGGAGCCGCATGATAAGAATGAGTGATTCGAGTGGTAGTAGCAGTGTTCATATTCATATAGAGACTCGGGAGGTGAAGACAGATGTCAATTAGACTTCTTTGGGACTACGAGGGGACAACTGAAGGGATTTGGGGAGAGAGAAGCACGCCTTAATCTGCCCCAATGGCTTGTCAATGATCTGTTTGGACGTGGCCAGAGAACTATTTCCCGGGAATTGTTTGCGGGAGTGAAGTTTTTGCTCGACATAATTTATTATACTGCATTCTAGTCTTGCAAATTGAGGGTTGAGGGGTAAACAGGGATAGATCCATGATATAAACCAGTCCGTCCGGGTGGGGAAAGAGGAGGAAATGGCTCCCGAGTCCCCGAGTCTAGGTAGTCTTTTTTTTCCCCCCGAGTGCCAATTCCAGTAAGTTACCGAGTACCTTACTTAGTTGACTTGACTTAACTACTAACTAGCAGCTGCAACATTCAACTTCAGCTTGTCGGTCAGTCAGACACCAACTTATCTATCTGTCTATTAGGTAGTAACTAACTGATCTGACCGCGTCTTACCTCAGTTACAGGACCAGTGCTTCATTGTATCCTGGTGCAATTGGCCTGCATCTTTTCCCTTTCCCTCATTCCTCTTTTCATAATCATCATCATCATCATCATCATCATCACCATCATCGTCGTCGTCGTCGTCTTCTTCTTCTTCCTCTCCTCCTACTCCTCCTCCTCCTCTTCTCTGCTTTGCTAGAGTATTTCTTTTTCTTCCTTTTTCTGCCAAATTTTCTCCTTGGCCCCCCTCCTCCCTTCTTTTCCCTTGTACTTACCGTGTTGGAAGTGGCCTATCTTCTCCTTCTCCCTCTTGCTCCTCTTCTTTTCTCGATCTCTAAGTCTCTGCTAAGTGATCTTTTCGCTTGCTTGGCTTCTGACTGAAGTGTCTCTAGCATTGAGGGAAGCCTAAGGAGATTTTCATAGTACATACTAGCCAACCTTTCCTCTCGGGTGATGCGACTGACTCCACCTCAGCCTGCCCTCGCCGACTTTCTACTTGCAGGGAAACAAGTAAGATCTCCTACGATCGGAATCTGTTGATCTCCACTGCACGTTCTATTGAGGGTTTATGACTACGACCAGGTAACTAACTAGGGAGGAGTAACTTACCTCCAGGCTAGTTGACCGAAGAGGTTCTATATCCGGCGAGTTTGTTCTACCTCGAGCACAGTACAGGCCTTGCAGCGGGCCAACCAAGCGCCGCAGTTGGACGCCCATCGATCCACTTGGCCGAACCTCTTTTTACTTCCCTGATCCTCAACTCACATCAATTGATTCAATCATCATCATCTCCATCTCCATATCCCTCTCCATTCCCATCCCCTTCCCCATCATCGTCCTCTTCCCCGTTCCCTCTCCCCCAATTTCCGTCGCTGTCGCAAATTCCGTTGACTTTTCTTTTTCTTTTCCACTCCGGGGTAAGTTTTTTTTTTTTTTTTTTTCAAAGAAACCTTTCCTTTAACCTTGACTTCTATTCTTCGCATTGAACCTCTTATTCTGCATTTATTGCCAAGTTGCCTTACACTCCTTCCATTTTCATTCCCATAACCACTACCTACTCTTGTCCCTGTCCAATTTTGTCGCCCTCGCCCACGTATCTGCCACCGCCACGATCAATTTCCCTCAATCGCAGTGCATTGTTCTTCCTCTTCAATCAATGGCTGGTGTTGTAAAGCCCTTCAGCCTCTCCCTTCGGACATAGACTTTCTGGCATTGCTCCATGGATCGTCCGCGTCTCCCTTTCCCGATCGCTTTGTTCAATCCATAGTACTGATTGTACAGTACTCCATGCATCTATCCACTTTCATCCATGCCCGATCTGCTTGCCAAGGACCCCGTGCTGTGTTGTTGCCGGCTGGGATAAATGTTCGTCTTCTGTATATGTTATGTTCATGGCTCTAACTTCCTCCAAACTTTGCACAACTGACACATTCTCTCCCCCCTCCCTCTCCGGCCAATGCATTATTGCTTTGCTGGATTTACACCTGTTCTTGGCTTCTTTTCTACTATTTTTTTCCTGCTCCATTTTTGTCCTCTTCTTCCGCCTCCGTCATCACCATCGCACCCACTTTGCAGTGTTTTCTGCACATTTCTTTCTCATATCATCACCATTCTCTCCTCGTCATGGTGGATGTGCCATGAGAAGTTCATCATCGTAATTCCACCACCACTGCTCTTCATCCTCCTTCTCAAGCCACTAGAGTATTCTCGTTACTCTGATATACCTATACTTCATCCTTACTTGTTTCCTCTACTCCTGGACGAGTCATATATCTCATCATTGTGATCTCGTTTCCATTTGGACTCTTTCCGTCGACCTACTGACATAATTCTTGAAGGACAGCGATGGCGGGAGTGAAACGGAAAATTGACGCCTCCCAAGGGTCTGCTGCAGCGGTATCAGGTGGTAATTCTACAACACTTGGTGCCGCACACAGCACAACTAGTAAGTCTACGATTGCATGCTACCCAACAGCGCTTCTAATCCGACCCACAGATTCTACTGCTGATGATGCATCTCACGTCCGCGTGACTCGAAGCTTACGTTCAAGTCGAGATGTGCGTGCTACTCAAAATGATGCTCGTAATCACAGCAACGCTTCTGCCATGAGCGGAGGCAGCGGCAGCAACAACAGCCACCACAGCAACAGCAACAACACCACTTATAAGCCTAATCCTAATCGCCCATCGCGTATCATCACTCTTAGCACTCGTGTCGCTCGGGCAAACACCGCAGCCCGTGAACGCGAACAAGCCGCACGGGACCAAGCTCTTCGCGAGAACGTAACTCGTGAAACGCGCAACACTCGGACTCGTGCTGGTACTTCGTGGCCTTCGCAGCCAGTAGAAGGCGTAGTGGCACCTGTGCCTGAAACCCCACGGCATAAACGCGTGAAACGGGGCTCCACGGTGGAAGAGACACCGAGAACCACGCGGCAATCGGCGCGGCTCAAAGCACATGTTCCATCCACCTCGACAGAGGATGGGATTGCTGATATAGGTCTGATGCCGAAGCCTTCGGAATCAAGCCCTTCAGCAACCGCTGCTCCAAGTAGCCGTACTCGAAACAAGAGCCGGCAATGGGCAGACAGTTCCAACGATACCATTCACAGTGGCGCCGCCAATTTTATCACTCCTGCAATCCCTGAGGCTGAATCGCCCTCACCCGATCGGACGACCCTCAACCTTGTGGAAGATACGAAGCCTCTCTACGAGGAGCCTCACCTGAGCCCTAAGCTGGCTATTGAGGAATCACCCAAGGGTACAGTGGTCGAGGATGAGAAGAACGGGGTTAGTGTACCAGCACTGTCTGAAGCTGATGATTCTGTCAATGCTCCAAGCACCCCTAGTCCCCCATCTTCCTGGAAGCGAAGATCACCCGGACATTCACAGCGTAACGGAGCTGATTCCGAGAACTTCCTCGAGTCACCCAGCAAAAAGCCTAAGCTGGAAGAGGGCGAATCTGATCGTGTTTTGGAGCAGCAGTCACAGCCCTTTACCAATGGCCTCAACGGCAGATCTGAATCGGAGTCTCTTGTAAAGGCTGCAACTGATTCGAAAGCCGATGGCCAGTCCCGGCACACTACAGAGGAAATAGAGGGCTCAACACCAGAGATTGTGACGGAGCCTACAGCTACTCGAGGTTTCCGCGGTGGTCGGGTTCGGGGTCGAGGGCGAGGGGGCCGCAGCAGGGGAGCCGCGCGCTTTGCAGCCAACAAACGAGGACGAGGTGGTACTCGTAGCGGCCGCGGGCGTGCTGGCCGACAGCTTGACAGATCAAGTGATGTCGAGCCTGACCGCTCTCCTTCTCCTAGTGCAGCAACTCAGAGACTCCGTGATCGACAGCGTGAGCTGGATAAGGCATTCAAGAAAGTGGCTGCCGCTCAGCGTTTGGCTCTGGCAGTGCTGGCGACGCAATCTGAGAGACGAATCGCCCGAGACAAGAATGCACACAAGGATGTGCCCGAATTTGAGGAAGTCAACCAACAACTACAGGAGCGGCTGCGGCAGAAGAAGGATGTACTCCGCAGAGAATTCGAACTTAAAGTGGAGCAAGAGAATCGGTTGTTCCAAGCCTATAGAGAAGTAGTCGAGGAGCGTTTTCAGGTGGGTTTCATATGCCAAAGCATCCAGTCAGCATTCAAGGGAAGTCTACTAAGTACAGCAGACATCCGCTCGCAATATCCGGGAGGAGCATTTGATCGCCAGTCAGGGAGCATACATGACATTTGTAAGAGGCCGTCGTGCTGCGGAAGATGATGAGCACACCGAGGTAAGTGGCCTTTATGGTTCCGATACACTCCGTCAAAATGTTCATATGTTAATATGTAGCATATGCTGATCAACATCTACAGACGGACGATTCAGAAACCGAGCCCGAGCGGGGGCCAGTTGTGCCACCTGCGCGGGAAATTTTCCGAGGGTTCAATTCCTCTTACGTTCGGGTTCCCTCCGGAGCTGCTGCTTACGAACGGGCCTGGCTTGGCTGGGATGATTTCGTTCAGCGAGCTAAAGTAGGCGAAGACATCGACCCGCAAATGAAGGAAATGTGTGAATCAGGGCCCTTCTCAGGCTTTACTTCGGATGAGATTATCGACATGCTCGTGAAGGCAACTGGGGTAGTGGATGTACGAACAAACGCAACAACGGCGGGGGAGACGCAGCCCCCGGTCATACATGATATACGCCCTCGAGCATTATCGGCCTTGGCGGATATCGCAGCCGCCGAAACTCCTCGGCCCCCTATCGCCGCTGCTCCCCGATTTCCGCCTGCTCCCCCCCATCGAACCATTCTCCCCCAACCTGCTCTGACGCATGGTCCTCCTGAGCCTCGGGCCTTTGTCCTTCCCCCGCCCACTCCTCAGCGACAACAGCCCCGACGACTGCTCCCTGCCGGTCAGCAAATTCCGCCCATCAATGAGCAACTCGGCCTACCCGATCCATTTGCCTCGATGGGGGGACCGCCCCATCTTCCTCCACCGCCAGGATCGAATTTCCACCGGCCTCCGCTTCCTGGTTACTTGACTGGACATCATGCTCCAAGTCTCTATTATCCCCCTCCGCCACCACCCCCACCACCTGGACCCCGTCCACCTTATTAAGAGGCGCAGAAACTGCTTCTAGGCGTTGTTCCTCAGTCGGTCGCGGCGTCATACATCTGGTTTACTGATTATCTTTCCTTCCTTTGCGGATGCGTGACGGAGGCTTCTGACTTATCGATTTATTTCCTTTCTTCTTACTTCTTCTTCGTTGAAGTAGATCATATTACCTTGGATTGTCTTGGATTGTGCTGGGAATCGGGACTCGGGACCTGGGACTTGGGAATTGGGACTTGGGACTTAGGACTTGCAGAGCGATTTGAAGTTTGTCTTATTTAGCAGTCACGGAGGATTCCCCTTAGCCGTGTAGTTCCGCGTTTGTTCTAATTTACTGCTTCATGGTTGATCTTCAATTCCAAATCATGGATGAAATGCTCACATTCTTAATCAGGATGAATCATGATGGGTCATAATGACTCGACGGCGAATGACTCTGTTTGGCCGTGTTTGGCCGCCTTCAGAACTCCGCCTCCCCTCTCCTCCCGATTGGGTCTAGCCCGGCGGGGCGGGGCATTTCGGCCTCGAAGCTTTTTATTTCCTCGTGCTTTTCCTTCCCAGTCGCCATCACTTTTCAAGGCTGCCCATCCTTTGCGAGTCCGACGCTGCAGTCTCTCAAGTCGAACTCAAATACCCTTTTCGCTGCTATTTCTCGAAGCCTGCATCCTCTTCTTCGAGTGTCTTGCCGTCGCCTCACAACTTGACAATCCCACTCGACCGTCAGCCCCGCCTCGCGCGCCCATTGTCCCTCCTCGACCTTCTGTCAGACTCAGCGAAGCGTGTCGACTGATTCACTTTCGGACGCAAAAAAAAGCCATCCAGGTTTCATCACAATCACCATTACGATCAGCGAATTCGTGTGCGACCAGACGAAGTAATAATGGCTGTCCGTGCTCAATTCGAGAATTCCAACGAGTAAGATGGACCCGGGCTACGCATTTGCAACTGCGCCCTGCGCTTCGATCATTATTTGCCAGTTACGAGCTTGGAAGATTGCTGACTGTCATCAAAGCGTTGGAGTCTTCTCTCGACTGACCAACTCATACGCCATTGTTGCCATTGGCGCTTCCGAGAACTTTTACAGGTGCGTTCCCCTTCTCTAAATTTTTGGCCTAGCCGCTTGGCATGGACTTTGTCCACTGACTCTTTCGCTAGTGTCTTTGAGGCTGAACTGCAGGATGTTATTCCTATCTGCCACGCTACCATTGCTGGTACTCGCATTGTCGGTCGTTTGACGGCAGGGTATGTCAATCCCATTGACGGGGAAGTGGCAAACATGGAATCAGATCCTGATCAGCAGAGTACTACAGAAACCGCAAGGGTCTCCTTGTCCCCACTACTACCACAGACCAAGAGCTTCAGCACCTCCGGAATACACTGCCAGATTCGGTAAAAATCCAACGGATAGAGGAGCGGCTATCAGCCCTGGGCAATGTTATCTGCTGTAACGACCATGTTGCATTAATCCACCCCGACTTGGAACGTGAGACGGAAGAGATGTACGCCCCCCTTCCCATGAGTTTTTGTCCGTCTGACGTCTGGCATCTGCTAACCGTCGCTTCCTCTCTTTTTCCAGTATTGCCGACGTTCTCGGCGTCGAAGTCTTCCGACAAACCGTGGCCGACAACGTCCTGACCGGTTCCTACATGGCCCTCTCCAACCAGGGCGGTATCGTTCACCCCAAGACCTCCATCCGCGACCAGGATGAGCTCTCCTCCCTGCTGCAGGTGCCCCTCGTCGCCGGTAGTGTCAACCGCGGTAGCCCCGTGGTCGGCGCCGGCATGGTCGTCAACGACTGGCTGGCCGTGACGGGTCTGGATACGACGGCGACGGAGCTGAGCGTCATCGAGAGTGTCTTCCGGCTGGGTGAGATGGGTCCCCGTGGTGTCGGACAGGGCAATACCAACAAGGAGAGCATAGTGGAGAGTTTCTACTAGATTTTTTTCTCCTTCATCCTCCACCGCGATCGTCATGTTGTTTATGAAACCCTTTCCATACACATTTTCCAAAATATTCTTATTGTGCCATGAATGATCCTATGAAACACCCTTTCGAGCCCCGAGGATTCTTTCCAGGTTTCCACAAGACTTATCCATTTGTAGAGCTTTGAGGGGATAGCCACGAGAGAGAGAGAGGCGGAATGCGCCGAACTGAGAACTGTCTTATTCAAATAATGCATGCACTCACTCTCATGAGAACAGACTATATCTGGTTATTGCGTAGCGTAGCCCCGGGCATAATTGACATGCGTGATCTGCAAGCGAAAGACAGAGGAGAGAGAGAGAGAGATCTAGATATTGGGTAGCTAGTATGCGCATAGATCCAGGTCGAGAACAGCAGTGCTCGACGCCGTGCGTCACACGGTGGGTGGGGAGGAAGAAACCTCCGGGAGTTCAATGCATGAGATAAACTACCGTCAAAGTAAGTTATAGAAAAACCAAGTTCCATCCTAAGCTATGGATTTCCTGGAAGCTTCAGCTTGTTTGTACCTTTTGCCTTCCCCCCCCCCCCCCCCCTCCTTCTTCCTCCGGACTCAGTCTGATTTCATATGTTGGGTGATATAGCTCATGCCTCTCGGGGGAGTCGGGGAGGGGGGGGTTTCTTTTATCGTTCTGCGGGATGGCAAATTGAATCGAATGTGGCTTCAGGCGAATAGATTGTTGTGAAGAGGGTATTTATGTAAGAAAGTGAACATGATTGAAGTGAACGACGGTCAAGGTCATGAAAGAAAAATCAAGTATTGTTGAAAGGTACAAAAAGGAAAGGGAATATCCCGGGGGGGGGGGGGTTAAGACCAGCCAGAAAAAAATGTGACTGTGAAGAAGGTTAAGAATGAGCAAAAAGAGAGAAAGAGAGAATAGCGCCCAAGGTCTGCCAACTCCGAAAAACACCGATCCGGATGCTGTTGCTATGAAAACGACATGAAAAAAAAATCCATGGCTGATTGGCAGTTCCAACGGAATAGCTATTGAGCCAACAATTATGGGCCCCGTCCCCGTCCCCGTCCCCGTCCCCGTCCCCCTTGACATATTGCTATACACGTCCTTCAATGCCAATCTGTGATGTTTGGAACTGATTCCCTTCCCCCTCGTTGTGATGGTCTTGCTCGAGGGGCGGTGGTGGTGATGGAGGGGGAGGAGGCGCAGGGGGCGGAGTGGGCTCGGCGCTCTCTCCCTTGATGTTAGCATCGTCGCCACTCAGGGTCTGTTGCTTATATCCGTTTTGGTCATCTTCCAGATCGTTTCCAGGGCTCATAGGTGGAGGCGGAGGCGGAGGCGGGGTGGAAGAACGTTGTCGTTTGGAAGAAGACGGTGTGGTGAAATCAGTCGCGCTGCCGTCGCCGGTAGCCATGTCTTCTTCCCTCTTCCGCTTGAGTATCCCTTGCGTCTCCCCCACTAAAAGCATGTCCATGTCTTCCTCCTGCGCTGGCCCGTCATGGTCGTCTTCATCATCCGACATTCTCACGTCAGGATCATCCTCCGCCGGGCCAGCAGCAGTCGCGACGGCTGGTTTCAAATGTGCTTCCTTTGATTGCCGTTCTGCCTTGCGCTCCTCGTGGGCCCTGTGCTTTACGACAGCCTTATCGAAGAATTCCTTGCAGAAGTTCTTGACTTTCTTTTGCTGCTTTTCATCGATCTTGGTGGGATCTTCGACACGATTGTTCTTGAAGTCCGAGTTGACGAGTTTCTTGGCAACCTGTTATCAGATACTTGGTAAGCATATCAACACAGCATTTACAAACTCGAGACCGGCCTTACATCTTTAGCATAACGCTTCAGATCATCTTTGGGAAGCTTGTGCTTGAACTTGTCTACCACGTATTTGACGTGGGGAAACAGCTGTGATCAAATTAGCCCTGCGTCTTCCCAATCAATTGCAGCAAGGAGCCGATAGTGTAGGAGCAAGAACGAACCGTGTTTTCATAAATCTTTTTCCGTTTTTCCTCACTCAAACTCCGCCACTTCTCCTGGCCCTCTTTCTGGTCTGGAGTTTCCTTGGAGGTCTGAGGGGTGGCCGGTGTGCCTGATTTTTCCTTAGGTGTATTCTCCTTAGCGTTCATGATACCGTCAATGATATCCTGCAACGCCTTGTCCCGCGATTCCTTCGCTGGCGGGCCTGGTTGAGGCGCGGGCACGGTCGGGCGTGTCCAAGTCACCTCGCCCCGAGACGAGTAAAAGTATGTCCTTCCGTTAGAATCAGCAGCGAACCATCCCGGAGGAAGAGGGTTAAATTGACGACGGAAGGGCCGAGGTCCGTTGTGGAGGGGACCTCTCGGGATATGGCCTGCTCGTTGAGCAGCTGGACCGCGAGGTGCGTCGATGGATCTGGACCTTGATCGGGACCGAGATTTGGACCGCCGTCGCTCGTCACGAGTAGTCTCACGGCGCTCGAACTGACTGATCGCCTGCGGCGTGGCATTGGGGTCCCTTTTCATTCGAGGAATGCGGTAGCCTACTTCAAGCGTGGACCAGACCTGTAGCAATATGGCTGCCTTCTTCTCGACACGCTCATCCCCGCAACCGGTCAAGGGCTGAATGGTCGACTCGATCTTGGAGTCGAGGATCTTGTTCCTCGTCAGACGTGGGAACCTGTCTAGGATATCCAGAACCTGCAGGACCACGTTGAAATCTTCTTTCCACATGCTGAGTTGTGAATTCAGAATCTGATAGCCATGCATCTTGACCACGCGGTTTGAAACCCGCTCATCTTCACAGCGCTGAATGCGACCCAGTAATTTGACAGCGATCCACTTCTCCTTGCACTGCATCAAAGCAGCCATGACTTTAGTGACCCCATTCTCATCTAGGGACTTGGGCTGAACACTGTCCACATACTCTTCATCATCCTCGCCCATCTTCTTCTTGCGCGGCCGCTTCGCTACAGCTGTGTCCCACCCATCTGAATCTTCGATACCCAAGGCCTCAATGGTGGCATGAGATAATTTGGTCGCCCGCTCAGTTTGAGTTCGCCCACCAATGAAGCCAGTGCAGTTGGGTTCTCCACAGTAGCATGGTTGGGGATCGGCTCCATAACGGTCAACGTTATAGTTGAACACAAGTTCCTCTCCAGCTCGGATGTGTCGTTCAGCAAAAATGCCCATTCGCAGCTTCTCCCCAACCACCCATTTGTCGACATAACAATTTGGGTTGCACGAGTGATTGCAAAAACGACCTAGGTTGCCTTTCTTTGTCGCGTCAACGAATTCACCTTTACTGAGAGACATGAAGTAAAAGTGCTTGATGCCCTCCTCATCATATTGTCGCATACGGCGGCGAAATTGCCCTTCGTTGATAACTTCGCCCACGTACTCGAAGATAAACTGATGCGGTCGCAAATCGGCCTCCGCGCGAAGACCAAACCCTTTCTTTTCTGTCTTGATCACTGCCACCGGGGCATATTCTCGTTGTTGGAAGCGCTGGTTCTGGCATGCTGGCCCGCAACCGCAGTCGCCCATACATTCGATTTTTGTGGCGCGGTTGATGCAGTCCGAATCCTCCCCACAAGCCAAATTCTTAGCAATCGCGGGTTCTGCCTCAAATTAGTGCGTCTTCACTTTGCGAGGGCGAAAGAAATGTAAAGAAACTGCCCTCTCCATATTTGTGCATGGCTTCAACATAGAAGATGAGGGGGGCAAAGAACAGGCAATGGTTTGGTGTGGTGTGCTTGAGAATTTCCCAACATGTTTGAGGCGGGGATCCGAAATGCAACGCCACGCGTGGGAAACCGCCCACGGGAACAAAAATAACGAAAGGCGACAGAGAAGGAAAACGGTGGAACGAGTATGATCGTAGGAACGAAGAAAGTGAGTACTTACCCCATTCTTCCGCGCAGTCGCATTCCATCGCATGCTCAGTATAGCCCATGTACTTATTGGCATATGTGCAAGCATCCATAACCTCAAAAGTCTCCTCTGCCTGCGCCGTGCTGTTCGGCAGATGTAAAAATAGCTGTGGTGGTCTTGCCGCAACCTTCTGCGAGGAACTTCGTGTCAACTTGGGAGGCTGGCCCGGTTCGAGTTTGACCGAGATGTCACCTCCAACTTTTTCCTCCATGTTGTCTGGCTGGGCCGTCTCCGTGGCTTCAAACTTTGCTTCGTCGCTGACTTGGTTGTGATCGTAATCGTCCTCCGGCTCATTCTTGACCGGCGACCGGGAGGTAGGCCGCGAGGCTGACTGAGATGCCGACAGCGCGTAGGTGTCCTTGGGACCTGCAGGAGAGGAGGCGTCCGAGGCCGCATCGAAATCGTGCTTGCTCATGGCTCCGGCGCCGTTGAGTATCGGAGTATCGGGAGTTGCGTCAGGGTCTAGCTTCATCGCGGTCACCGCATTCGCGATGGGTTCTGACTGACGGTCCGCGTTGTCATGAGGGGACATGACGACATGGACGGTGCGCGCAACTATCAGAGCCAGCTGGGGAATGCGCTGTTATATGATCGATTACCAGCGCGTGGTGGTTGGTGAAAGAGGGTGTTCTGGATTGCGGAATAGGTACCGTAAAAGAAAAGAGAAAAAGGGAGTCTCGAGGATGAGATACAAGGTGGGCAAAAGAAAGGACAAGAAGAAAAAAAACAACCAAATAAGAAGGATAAGAGGCTCAAAGGAGGGTTTGCAGGCAGGCAGAATAATTGGTGCGAGAAGAGCAGGAAGCAGTGAAAGTCGCAAAGCCGAAGCAGCAAATCGTCCACGTTTTCCGCGGGTGCCAAGAATCATCGATGAATCGAGGACTCAAGCAATGTAAGGGAGATCTTTAAACAATGGCTCTCTCATTTTCCCTCTGGCACACGATATCTCTCTCCTTCTATCTTGTGCCTTTTTCATTTTCTATTAATTCTAGCAATCCAAAAAAAAAGGCACCCGGCTTACAAGGGGACTTCCTCATCTACCTCCCTCCCTACCCAACCTTCCAACTCCATCTTGAACCATTCGCCATCTTCTGGGTCCATGCAACACACATACTTTGGAGAGACAATCTCGCCCAATTTCATTCTTTCCTCTTTCTTTCACGGTCGATCTCCTTAGAAGAATAAGACAATTCCTCTGAGCTCGTGCTCCCGATAATAAGATGATCAACGAGCAACACTTTCATGTTCCTGCCGGACAAGCCGAGCTCGTTATGCGTGCTTCGAGCGGAACAATCTTTTCATATAGTGCTCTTACAGGGCCTCATGTCTTGTTTTTCCAGCCATATAATAGCACCGGTGGTTATCCTGTCGAGATGCATGCTTACTCAGGCCCCTTCATCAGCAGGAGCCTCTTTACTCCAGGGCGGTCGATATCGGACCCTGTTTCGACTGTCGACATGAACACCCAGGGGCTGATCAACTCTCCCACTATAGCCATTGGCAGAAGCACCAGTGCATGGTGCATATGGCATCCATTTATACTCGGCTCTGCGCTCCCTCTCTCTGGTGCAGAAAACTGTCAGCATGCAATAACTCGAAGCTGAAGCGAGGATTCGCTTTGTAGAGTAGGATGATCATTCTTAAGTCGTTAGAGCCAGCAATAAAAACTGACACATGATGGAGACATGCCAGAGACGAATCCCGGAGCAGAAAAGGTATATATATATTGACAGGAACTGAGACACAAATGTGAAGACAATGGTGCTGAAGTGAAAACCTTGTAAGGTGATATACAAAAGGTCAACGGCATTTGACCCCATCAAGGGTGGCCTGAGGTGGTTGGAATGAGAATTCTTTCCGCGAGCTGAAGCCTTCTATCCGCATCCTGAGAGGCGGAAACGCTACGAACTCGTGGTCAGTACTTTAAGAGAATAACCAGATGAACAAGTGGAGAGGGATGGTAATACCAGTACATGAAAGATTTGGTGCCTTCTGGGCTAGAGCTATGTGTACATTACAGTACCTAGCTGCAGAGGATGAGCACCGATCACCCAACCAAGTGATGGCTGGCTTTTGCGTGGGATGGCACCATAGGCCACGAGAAGTCCAAACCATCAGTGCTAGGGCTGTGGCCGGGTCTTGCTTCTGCAGCTCACTGCCTTAGGTCGGCAGGGGAGCGTAGGGAGCAGGGGTTCCCTCTTACGCACTAGAGAGGACGTGTCAAGTATCAAATACTCCGTCTCAAGCATGCAGTGGAGGCCGTTGGCGACAAGGTGGGTTAAAAGCCCCGAGAGGCGTCAGTCCCGAGGGACCTATCAAGCTTAACGCTGTTCTCCCGTCCTTCCAGAGACCTTTGATGTTCTTATTCTTCCGGTGCCTTCAATGGGCGGTTAACGATTGGAGGGAATCGCGTCTTGACCTGGCGCATCGTCCACCGTTGCTCGATCTGTAGATATGCTAACCACCAGTGAGAGCAGGTTTCAGGTGTCAACAAGAGTTGGTGACTGAGTTACTTGCTAAGATTTAGCGCGTTGATTAGTAGTTAATGTTAGTCTGTCAGTCAGCAGCCAAGTGTCAGTGAGAAAGGATGTTACCATAATTGACCGGACCATCGTAAGAAATGGAAGGAGAAAAAGTGCTTACTGCTAATTATACTTAATCAAGGAAATCAACACTCGCGGCAGTCAATTGCAATGCAAACATGCATGAACCGATGTTGTTTCGCGAGAGAAGATAGAGTCGTAGTGATAGATGGATGGAGGGAGGGAGGGAAGAAGGAGGGGAAAGAGTGGAACGGAAACAAGTTAAACTCCTAGACTCCGCCCTAGTAATGCCAGACCACCCAAAATGGAATGACGCCGGTGTCAGGTATAATTAGCATCCGAATCGATCGCGTCCTTGAGATTAATTGTTTCTACATAGACTACTGAGTAGTATAAGTATCAACTATAGCTGCCAGGTGAATATGAAATATTACTGAATATCGAATGGTCGTCCCAGTTGGCTGGTAACTGACCCAGCCGGAAAAATGCCACTACAGAGATATTGACAGTGTACTGTATGTACTGTACATACTGTACATAGAGTACAAGTTTAGCGTACAAAATTACGCACAGTATGACAGTTGATGGCCCAGCCCTAGGAGAAAAATAATGGTTCACTGAGGAAATCAAGCAGGTAAACCGCCCAATTAGTAGTACGCATGTGAAGTAGTATCGATGTATGATACACTACCCAAGCATTTAATTTGATCTCAATGTGTTACTTCGCACAGGCCAGCTCATACTCGTACCAAGTATTATCAGCAGCGCGCGTGTTGAGATCGACTGCAACCCATAGGAATCTTTCCTGTCCGTGTGGATTTTTCTCCGAATGATAACTTTACTTACATGAATAGTTAGTTTACTTACGCCGTGCTTTCGTACTAGTAGTACTACGGTACAAGCGCAACGGGTACCTGAGATGTGGGGCTGCCACGGTCTTTTTTCCACCTGCCAACAAAGACACTGGTACCTTCACGGTGGGTACCGGATACCGTACACGGTACTAGACTACTGCTCCGTAAATTCAAATGCGCCACAGGTTCCCGTGGCCTTCCCCCCCTCTCTCCCCTCCCGGGGCTCTTTGTTCATCCTTTCCCTCTTGGACTTCTCACTCCTTTCCTCCACCCTCTGTTCCTCTCCCTCTGCCTCCTCAACCATCTTGCCCCAATTATTTCATGTCTATTGGCTCGGTTTAAATTTCAATGCATCAGAGAAAGCTGGTGTTCTTTTTCCAACACCGTTTTGCAAGTGGCTGAAAGCTAGGAGGTTGAAGTAGGGGGCCAAACACCTCCCTCCCCCAAAAGACCCAGTTTCAACGCCACGCAGGACTACGGTACTATAAGCAGACTATATTTTGGACGGTTGATTCAAATCGGCGGGGCCTTGCTCCCTCCTGCGTGCATGGTACTCGTGCATGGACCATGGTCAGTCTCAATTAGACATTACGCTGCAGAGTACAGGCCATCCTCGCTTTCAATCCAGTGGCTTGCCCTCCCACAGCGACTAAGAACTCAAGACTTGCTGCTTGTTTGGTTCCTCCGGTCATAACTGACCCGTCGATTCATCCCGTCAGTGGCAAGATTGGCTGTTCCATTCGCAAGACGCTCCGTCGATGGGCGAGTAACTAGTAGTAGCAAAAAGCTACTACTTCTCACGAAATACTTGCAGCTCAAGCGCAGCGGCATGCGTCGAACTTGCCCCGTGGGCAAATATCATCCCCCGTTCGCTTTACAGTACATCTTCCTGATGGATTTCGTCCCTGCGCGCCCTGCCTGTTACTCATTGGACGGGATGGTAGGTATGAAACCAACAGTGACAGCAGAAAGAACCACCCCCCCCTTTTTTCCTTTCCTGCACGATACTATAATATGATATTTATGTCATTCACTCCGAACCTTTGGCCTTTTCCAACGGAGGACCAGTACAGCTCGGTTACAATGAGTATTGCTTACCTTTACTCGCTTCCCTTTACATGATTTCCACCTTCACCGTGCCTTTTCTAATTTTCTTCGATGGGGGCAGCCTTGTCCTACCCAATGTTATCATACATGACATATACTGCTTGCTTCCACTAAGCTTGACAGACTGTCCGGATCAAAATCACTACCATGCTTGGTAAAGAAGAGAAAGAAGGACGACGGAGAGAGAGCCAAGTAGCAACCTATCCCGGTCTGGCCGTTTCGGAACATCCTTGCAGTCTTCGTCCCATTGCTTTTTGCACTAACGGGACCCATTTATTTACCCAGCCTCCAGGATTTTACTCCTCGTCTGCGCCTATTGCGGAGCCTTTCACCCCACCTTGCGGTTATCAAGCACCTCCGCCGCTATCCAATTTCTGCCAGTCATTGCGGTGTGCATTCCCGCTATCATGAATAAGGCCAATGCACATTTTTGCATGTGCTGCAACTGCACGCCAGATGTCCAGGTTCAGAGTACGCGGGCCTCCAGACATGGCTAATGACCATGGAAGCTCGCCCTAGCTAATCTTCTACAAGTTTTCGACTTGGATATCATCTTCATAGGAACTGTTGCTTCCAGTACCCGGCCCACTCTCTCTCGACCGACCCAGACCATCGGTGCGTCTGGATGCTTCCACGGTAATTCGCTTATCATGCACGCTATGGAGACCGTACTCCATCCTATGAGAGGGGTCTTCTCCGCCCCAGAGGTTGACAGAACCTTTGGTCTAGAAATGGCAAGCTTCTTCGCAGTCCACGGCCGTGGCTTGACGCTTCTTCGCGCCTATTAACCACCGTCTATTTCCACGGTATTTCTCCAATCCACAAACAAGGCTTTAAACTTTGGTTCCATCCCGTAGTCAGGGCGTACAGCAGTAGTCGCAGGCTGTTGTCGCATTACTTCTTCACGCCGAGCCCGGCTAGGTCCTGTGCCCCCTACACTCTCATCCGGCCAGGTTCCCATGGTGTCCCAGCAACATGCATCCTTAGCTCTTTCCCTATGCTCTGTCGTGCCCCTCCTGGTCTTTTTCGTCCTTTCGCGGGCCGGCCAGGGCTACTGCAGCCCCTCTTTGGTGAGGCATTGTTTGATTCCTTTGATTCCTGTCTCGTCGGAGGAGGATGCGCACTTGAGGTCACTTGAAACCATCGTGTTTTCGAAACACTATTCTGTTCTCGGTAGGGCCCCGGTCTAATCCCACCTGAGACTGGTTGGATCCGCTGTATTTCATAATTCGGTCTGATCTGAGTCCTGACCCATCATGGCTCTTCTGTATTGTTCACGAAAGATCGTCTTCGGTTGACGGACAGTGAGCATCCCGGAAAGGAGTCCCTGCAGCTTCCCTTTCTCCCTCCGGCCACACATTTGTGGCAGCTACAATACTGTCCTGCGCGGTTCCGAGGGTAAAAAGTCCGTCTGGCTAGAAAAAGTCCCTGAGATGATTCAGTGCAACTCAACGACTGGTCCAGCTTCTTCTGTTTCTTCCTTTCCATTTCCTGCTTTCTCTTTCCCCCCTCTATCTGTGGTGTGCCAATATGCACCGTTGAAACTGCTCGTTCCAGATAATCTTGTTCGATCTCCAACGTCGACATCTGATATCCTTCCTGTGGGGAGGGCCCCGATCCTCTTCTGTTCAATCATTTGACTGATTCCATCTCCGGCTTCTTTAGCCCTGCGAAAGGCCTCTGTTCTTCATTGCCTTTTTTCAGTGTGGTGGTCATTTGCAAACATCAAGGCCGCTTCTTTTCATTTTCATTCTGGTGCTTCGTCTCCCACCTCGCCCGAATTTGCCTTGCTACGGCATCCTTTGCCCTTGCCTCATATGACCTTCGTTATTCCTGCTTCCCGTCTCTTATGCGTTCGTTTCTTGAAGTAATCGTTCTTTTGAACTTCAATGTCTATTATCAACTCTCTGCGCGTCGATTCTATACCCTCTCCTTCGTTTGCTGACTGTTGTTAGTTGGAGCGTCGTCCTTTCCTTTGTCCTCGATTGCGGTTTCGCTAGCCCACATTACGCGCTTCTTCCTGAGCCCCCACGTGGTGCTCCTTTGCTGTAGACGCATCATTCTTTTTGGGAGGCTCTTTCTGATTTCGCTACGAGTATATCCTGTTTCTATTGTCCCCATCGCTTTTTCTTCCCTGGTTAGAATCTGTTCTTGGTGGCTCTCCGACGCTGTCGCTCGGTTTCGCCGCAGTGCGCACTTTTATCCTGGTAGGCTTTGGTACTGCTTGTGTACTTTTGGATTCTCAAAGTCGCGTGACGCGTCACTCTTTACGTCTTGTCATCATTGTCTAGAATCACGATCTCTTCTATTGACTCATTGTCGCCGGTTGGGCCGACTCTAGAAGAAAAGCCGCTTCTACCCAGCTTCCATGGTCAACTGGATATGTCGAATCTAGCAGAGAGGCCATGGAACGAGGAGGAGAAGGTACGAAAATTACCCTTTTTTTCGTTCGTTGTTCTTTCTCTTTGGACCTTTCGATCAATGGGATCGCAGGTGTTAAATGATCCTGTGACTTGTTTTACGGACGACTAACGATGGACTTAAGTACACGCTACTTACCGAGATCTTAAAGAAGGCCAGAGTTCCCTCGAGCCACTTAGTAAAAATGATCCGGGATTTCGGTATCACGCCAAGCTGGACGGACATTCCCTTGCCTCAAGGTACAAAACTGTCATTCGATGTCTTAGAGGTTTCAGTTCGACTGAGCACATGTGCTAGCCCACATTGGGCCAGAGAACACTCCCTGATTTATGTCTGCTAGCTGACGCCGATCAACTTAGGTCGCTCACTCAACTCCTGCCAGATGGCGTTCTACAACATGTGTCAGCACGTACCATTATCATTATCTGTCAATCCCGCCCGTGGGCCGGTTCCTCCTCACGCCCACGAATCTGCACCGCCAGCAACTGCACCCTTGGACCCCAGTGCTTTGCGTAAACGACCTCTGTTTCCTCTAGATAAAGGGATCCGCCCCCCTCGTGCAATTCAGCCACGCCCTGCGACCAGTACTGCTTCTTACAGTAGCGAAAGTGGTGCCTCGACCCTTTTGTCTCCCAGCTCGGAGAGTATCACTGTCAGAGGCGAACCTCCGCGGAAAAGAGGTCGCCCAAGCAAGGCTGAATCAGAACGACGTAAGGCGGCTGCTGAGGCCCGCGGGGAAACCTATCCTCCTCCGCGACGATCCGGCTCAACTAAGGGGAAGTTGCCTTCTGCGCCAACTAGTCCTGCTGGCCTGGGGCCTGGAGCACCTCTATTCGGTCCCCAGGTCGTTGGCAGGCCGCTGAATTCGTCTCAATCCGAATTACACTACCCTGCACCACCGAGGCGGCCATTATCAATGGGAGGCGCAATCGGTGAAGCGCGATTGCAAGAAATGCCCAGTCAGGAATTGGTACCTTCAATGAGGGAATTGCCGCGACCCCCAGAAATGAGACAAACTCTGCCTTCGCCACAAGCGCTACAATTAGGACATAGGAAATCGATTCAAAGACGAGAAACAGGCGATCGGTCATTCGAACCCCTTCTGCCTGATAGGACATCATTCGTGGAGAGCAATCGGAGGAATCTAATTCATCCTCTCGCCAGGTGCCCGGAAGAAGCGCATGGGACGGCTCCAGAATTATTGATAGAAAGACCAGCAGAAACTCGATCTGAATAACGGACAATTCCGGCAAAGATGGAAATCCCTTTCTTTTCTCAGAAAATATCGACTCACGATTAATGATTCCATGTCAATCATAAAAGACAATTTCCCTCTCCTTTCAAATCGTTGTCGCGAACAAGATCGATCAAGTAACGATGACAGCCCAGCTATACCAGGGAACGTGCTCAACGCATGGCTCGTGCCACTCACGTGCAACTTCTATTATCTGCTTCTTTTCTATACGATCTACGATACATTTTCTTACTTACAGCGCGCAAGCATATTATTTATGTTCGGGCTAAAGCATCTAGCAGAAGGGTCCAGGCGTGTCAAATATGTCGAATTGGAGAAAAAAAATTCAAGCAAGAACGCCTTCTAGAGACATGTTTCCAAGTTTTGGAATATCACATTCTGCCAGCATTTACGTCTGCGCATATGGATCGATGACAGATTATTTATGAATTCGTTTGAACAAAACAACAAAAAATTATCGTTTCATGCCCTGTACAATTGCTTGGTCGGCAACCTTATGAACAATGAGACATGATATCACAAGTCCTTGTGTTGCTGATTAGCAAGTCATACTTTTTTGATCTACCTCCCTGCCAACAATTTTATTATGCCTTTTACTGATGTCTTTTCAAATGCGCCAACCTGCCGCGCGCTTCTCTATGTCACATACTTGATTACTTGTATGATACTAATTATTGCATGGTGTTATATAAGAGCACAGCATTCAGCCCAGTCCTTGATGCTACACAGTTGGTGTGCAAGGGAGAGAAGAAGCACCTACCAATGCGACGAGGTCAGATATTTTTGAGACAGTGCACAATATGGATCCATGTACAGACCATTCCACTAGTCATCTGTTGTTGTTGAGGCCACAGCTAATGCTAGTGAAATGCCACCCTCTATTCTCTCATGGATCTGCACATTTTCTGACTCGGTCGACTATGTTTCGTAAATGAGATGCAGAGCGCTCGGGGTTCGATGCGTCCGTCGTAGTGACTCCGGCTGCAGTAGCCAACGGCAGTACATCCGAGGATTTTACTCTCTCCTGTTGTTCCAGTTGCAGCCTGATTGCACTCACAGCAGAAGCCAATCCAGAGCTAGATGTTTTCTTCACACCGAACATTGGCCCCAACTTTGTGGCGTTCTCACCCACCAGCTTCATCACATCGTCTTTACCTTCTACGCGACGGGTCAAGTACACTTTGGGCTCTCTGCCCTTGCGAGGAAAGCTGGGTGCTCGAATCCGCTCGATTTCCTGTCGGTAGGCAGTCTCATAGATATCGAATTCCGCAGCACCAGGGGACTCGCTCACGATCGGACAGGCCATATCAGCGTTTAGGTCGAAGTCTATGGCGGTATCCACATCGGCCGGATCCTCAGCCAATTTTCCTGGTTCTTCAGGAATGAGATGATTCACTGCATAGTCACATTCTTCGCTCGAAGGGGAGCCCGTATAAGTTGACGGCCCAATGAAGAGGAAGGGGAATTCTTCTTCGAGAGGGTCGCGTGCATGTCCGCGCGTCCCCTCAACGCTGCGCTTGGTTGTTGCTGAGCTTGCTCGGGATAGTGGTATGAAAGGAGACGGAGACTGTGGCGTAGAGGTGGGTTGCGGGTCGTCAATGAATCCTCCTCGAACATTGATATTGCGTACGGAGCCCGAGTCCTTGCTCTCTGGCGCGTCTTCCGTACCAATTCTGCAACTGCTGACAGTGGTGGGATCCTCTGTGGGGAGTTGTTGACCGCCACCTGACGGTTGGTTGTGAGTTGATTTTTCGGTCTGACCGTGAGGCTCTTTCAAGGCGTAATGCTGCTCCCAAGCTGTCCTGTTGTATGTGTTCAAACTTTGAGCCTTGCTCTTCGCACCCAAGTGGCCAGTTGCAAAGCTCTCTTCTGGCTCCATTTCCAGTGGGGGCTCTACGAAATGGGTCTCGTACTCCTGACCGAGAATACTCTGCATTGGAGGATCGCTCTTTGCTGGATCAAGTAGTCTTTTGAAGCGCTTCACGGCTTTGATCTATGTTTCGTTAGAGGTTCTTCATACGCTGATGGGAGGCTTAGGAACAAAGGGGATTTAAAAATACTTACTACAGCCATGACATGCCCGATAGTCCTAGTGATAGCTGAATTCATCTCCTCCTCGGTCGGAAAGTCGATTATCTCCGCTGTGTTCTCGGTTTCTGACAGAAGAGGGTCCAAGCCGTCTTTTGTTATCCATGGATGCTCCTGCAGTTCACTACATGAGCAAAGTACGTTCCAGAGGATCTACACTCGCCCAAACTTACTCGCAGCTCATGCATCTGGATCCGTTTTGTCGGATCTTTTTCCAAGATCCGAGAGATCAGATCACGAAAGTTGTCATCAGTCTCCTCCTCACACACAACTGCGTCGTTCTTGATGGCCTCATAAAGTTCGAAAATACTTTGCTTCTCAAACGGAAGCTTTCCATAGCGCAGACAATACAGCGTGACGCCCATCGACCATATATCTGCCGCTTTTCCCGAAACGTCGCCGTGCTTCACGACACATAATTCCGGAGGAAGAAAGGCAGGAGAGCCCGCAGACTTTGCCGTGTACATGTTAGAATCCTTTTCGAACATCTCAGACACGCCGAAGTCGACAACTTTCAGGACGTCGTCATTCGTTACCAGGCAGTTGTCCGGTTTGATATCTCGGTGTACGATGCCCTGAGCATGGAGATATTCAATCCCGAGAATCAAGTCACGGAACCAGCAGCGACAGAGAGCATCCTCGTACGGATCGGCTCTTTCTTCAAGGCTGACCTTCATAACCACGCCTTTCTTGCACATCTCCATAACCATGTAGAGAGAGTCCTCTGTGGGATCGTCTAGGACCTCTATCAGTGAGACAAGATTGTTATGATTTAATTTCTTCATGATTGCGATTTCCTCCTTGATCAGGTAGAGGGCATCTTGCTTGTGGTCCTCGACGCCTGCCGAATAGCGATGCAGCGGGGAATTGTAGCCATCCAGAGGGCGCCTCGGACCGCGTGGTCTCCGCAACAGATGGGACTGGGCCCGTCTCCTGAGACGAGCCTTTGAGAATTCTTTGACGGCCTATTGATCGGCTGGGTCAGTCACGCGAGCACTTGCCTAATATTGCAGGTAAAATGCCGTTAGTTCATGGCGAGGATGAGCATAGACCCTACATATTCGTTTCCAAATTGGTCGACCGCGAGGTGCACCGCTCCAAAGGAGCCCCTGCCGATTTCTTGCTTGATCACATACTGGTTGATTCTGTGTTCAGCAGTTCCGTCATCCTGGCTCGTAGTGTACTCAGAGCGTGCGTCGAGCGTCTCCTATCCAGGATAGTCAGAACTATTGCACAATGGGACACTGAACGCCACGGGAAGACGGCAGATGTGACTGAAGAGACTCTCGGATGGGCGCTACCTTTACCGGCCGCCTGACTATTGGGTTACGGCGATGATGCCTCTGCGGGCTACCATATGATGGTGTTGACCTGAGCATCGTGTGCACGGTCAGATATCAACCTGAGCAGTACCATTTCAAAAGAAGAATGGATAGCAAATAAATGCACATACGCAGAACGGAAGGGCCAGGGTTGTGGCAACGGAGGTTGATCGCTTGGCGCACCATTCTGTTGGGCCAGCTCGAGGTTTTCGTGAGCCATGGGAAGCAGAAGATGGAGGAACGACAGCACAAAGGCTGTTTGAGTCTGACAAAGACCTCTCTGAAACTTTGCTGGGTTGCCGTGATGGGGAGGGAATCAAAAATTGACGGCTGCCTTGAGATAAAATGTTTGTGGGGGAGGGGGGGGTAAGAAAGGACCGGAGATGAATGGCGGGTTAGAGATAAGCACCACAGGTACAGTACAAGTGCCTAGTTGAAGGAGAGAAAGAAAGCAGCTTCAGAAGAAAAGAAGACAGCCCAGTCAAGCGAGACAGTTAGCTTGATTGATAAGTTTCTAGGTATAGAGACGGGTGAAACATACACGAAGCAGAAGGAGGTGGTTTGTCGCAATTTATTGAGTGGAGGAAAGAGGAGGAATAATTGATCGACGGGAGAGGAGGGGGGGGATTACTGTACAGTTGGACTTTACGGTATACACTCGCTCAACCTCACCCTCCACCCTATGGTATTTACTGTACATACTATGTACTCATGCATCTTAGCCAGCCTAGACTACACGCGGTAGTTGATTTACAGCGGAGATCATCAGCTGTAGGCTATAGGGCTGATGGTTGGCAGTACGTGTGTATACAGTGTCAAAGTGTGTATAGTATGTACTGTATAACTATGTACCCCGTATTGTACTCCTGTTCATGAATTATAATCCTGGCTGGGCTTTTTTTTTTTTTTTTTGTTAATTGATTTATTTGATTTATTTGAACCCTCCAGAAATAGATCAGAGTATACAATACAGGCGAACTTACATATTGACATAGTGACATATTTCAATCATGTTGATAGCATTCATAACATGTAGGTGAGTAGATCAATGATAAAAATAGTACTGTACTGGGTGTTTGATCTCTGTTCTCCTTTTCGTTTTAGTATGGAGTAATTTACTCCGTAATTCCTTATCGATAACTAAACACACTGGGGTGGCTCACCGCCCACAAGCTTCCCTCGTCCACTTGTCCGCTATCTAACCCTCCTCCCTGCAACCTCCGCATCTCATCACGACTCACGACTCACGACTCACAATCCTCCTCTTTCTCTTGGCTCAGATTCTCTGCACACACTTACTCTCTCCCGCTTTTTTCTTCCTCGGTTCTTCTTGTCAAATTATCATCGACTTGTCCGTTCTACCGCAATGGTGGTTTATTCTTTCTATATCTTTGACCGGCACGGTACAGTACCTTTTCTCCGCTTCCCTTGTATTGACGTCCCCAGATTTCCACATGCTAACCCCATCCCGCCCTGCTGTTAGCGGAATGCATATACAAACGACGCTGGCTGCCTCGTCCAGTCTCTACTTCAGGCAGCAAATCTTCGCGACCTACCTCGGAAGCTTCTGCGCCAGCCACCAGCGCTCCTGTGCTTCTTGGCCAGTCCGCGCGGACAACCGATGACGATGCGAAATTGATCTTTGGTACTGTGTTTTCGCTCCGCAATATGGTGCGCAAATTGGGAGGAGAGGACGACAAGTAAGGCTGTGGCTGGCTCATGAATCAGGGGTTCAATCTCAACTGACCAGGCTCTTTCAACTCCAGCTTCGTCACGTACAAGACGAGCCAATATAAACTGCACTACTACGAGACGCCAACCAACATCAAATTCGTCATGCTCACGGATATCAAGAGTCCAAGTATGCGCGTTGCATTGCAGCAAATCTACATCAATCTCTACGTCGAATACGGTAAATCAAAACACACTCCTTTCACGATTTGTTAGAATGCGCCAAGCTAATCTCTAATCATGGTCCGGCAGTGGTCAAGAACCCGTTGTCTCCTGTCGAGCATCCAGGGGGTGTGGGCGTCAATAATGAGCTATTTGAAGAGTCTCTAGAACAGTTTGTGGTACGTGCGAGGCCATGCCCTTACCAAGGTTTCTTCTGATCACTGTGTAGACACGAGTCTTGTCGTGAATCGGTCATCCATGCCCTTCAAGTTCGGAATCATACGTCATTCGGAAATGAAACTCAGACTGGCTTCACACAATCAACCTGCCAACAGCTGCATCGGCAGGTAAATTCTGCGCGGCAGCAGATTCCCACCATTCCAAAATATCACGCTCCACAATAGCTTGATAGCCGTAACACACGCTACACACACGCTACGCGAAGTGTTGGAAACAGAGGCTAGACTTTGGTGCTTATAATGTGCAGCATGGCACGATTCATACATACATCGTCTGCGATATGTCAAGACTCGTTGAGATCCTTCCTACTTGAGATCAGGGCACTTTCACCTTTCATGGCTACGGCCAGAACTAACTCAGTCAATATCAAGTGGCCCGGAATGCTACCAATATTCCTGCACTTCATGGTAACGATATCCTGCCGCAGAATTGGCTAGGCAGATCCTCCACATTCAATTCGTGTACAGTACATAATTACATATCAACATAAGAGCAATTCATCACTGAACAATAATAACAAACTCATATACGAGTCATTCCACGTTGCGCATCAAATCCACCATCGTGACGGATGTCTTCAAGCCACGCCACCAGTGCTGGACACACCGGAGTTGCCGTAGAGCACTTCTTCAGGCAAGTCGTCCTCATCCGGACCTTCGTTGTAAGCGTTTCTTGTCGATGGCTTCGCATGACGCAGGCGGCTTCCCTGCAGGATGTTGGACTGATCGATGGCCTCGTTCTCATCTTGGGCTGTAGACGATTATTAGCCATCCGCTCATCGTTCGTCCAAGGTGGTGCGGAACCTACCAAGCTGTTGGTCCGAGTTGGAATAGGGAGGCTGCATGGGGTCATCATAGCGATCTTCGTCTTTCTGAACAGGAATCTGTCCCCTCAGCCCCGACTGGGTCTCATGGGCGTAAGAGTTGTCGTAGACAGTCCCCGAAACAGGAGAGGTGTCATTGTCAGCCTCGTAGCGGTCTTCAGCTTCTCTCTCGTAGCGGTTCGACATGTTGATGAAGGGAATTAATGAGGTGGGGGAAACGTCTTTGTGAAAGAGACAACCTGGGGGCAGTAGTTGAATCGGTGGATATTGGAGATTTTGGATAGTCTGCAGTAGAGTAAGGCAACCCTGGGCGGCCTTATAACTTCGTCCATGGACCTCTATCTACTGGCCCTGATGCAATGTTGATGTCAAGCTATGTCTGATGAAATTGATCGTTTCGATCAAAGAGATTCACATTGAGATAAAGTTCAGATTAGGTTTCGAAGATGTCATTGGGGGGTTGGGACTGGGGTCCAGTAGTCGAATCTGTGGCATTGATGCCTTCTAGAATGTTTGGTTATCTATCGAGTACGTCAGGAAAATAGAATAGTTAGGACGCGCATAGAGCCGAGAAGAAAGTCCGCCTTGGTTCATTGTTTCGAGCCGGAGTTATCGTCTTCTGTGGTTTCTGCTGCTGCTGTTACTGCTGCTGTTTCGACATGACGTCTGTCCTTTCCTATCACTTCGTAGTAAAGTCATTGATGCAGCAAGGCATAAGGGCCATGGGACATGAGAACGATCATTTCCCGAAATGACATGCAAGATCGAGAGCAACGGATCCCTAAACCAAAGTTAAGAGTAATTGAATCGTGGTTCGCTTTGATAGCGACGTAGGAAAATGACATCGGATTGACTCAAGCTGAGGTAATTCGCCACGGCCTGGGCTGGTCGGCATACTACAGAAGATCCCAGCGATCATCATGGCCCTCGGCGTCACCATTATTATTTTCTATGATGTAGCGAGGTACGAGTCAATGAAATGTGTGTGATAGAGAGTAAAGGTATGTAGAAAGTAAGTAGTACCTGAGACTTGTATAGATGATTGTTCCATTCTAGACTTTAATTGGCGGTCGATCATTCTTGCAAATCCCAGCAGGCGTCATGGTTGGACCTAGGGAATCTTACCTAAGCTGCTGCTGCTGCTGTCGCAGGTCCCTAGAATTGCAACCACTTCTGATTGCACTCGTAGCGCTATTCTCAAGCACGATGTCTGGCTCAGCTGATAATCCTTTATTCTTTCTCACGCGACGACAAAATATCCGAGAGAGAGCTCGTCGAAGAACGATACTGCGCAACACCTGAACATCGCCAAGGGGTTGGGCGTCGGTTGCAACAGACGATCGGTCGGTCGAACAGTGCAGGGCCGTTGCGGTCGTGAACGCGACGCTTTCAAAATATCCAGACCGGTCAACTAGCTAGGGAACAGCATGGTCATCAATTGACAATCTGGCGGTCAAACAAACCTTTTGGACATCTGGCTTGGGTTCAATAACAGTACAGCACAGGAAGAAGAATAGAGAGGGAGGAAGAGGTATGGGCTGAAGTGCTCCGAGCGCTCTCCCTCCCGCTCCGGCATCGATTTGTTGTCCGCACCATGTCCCAAAGGCAAACTTCGCGCATAGAATCGCCTGTTTGCGGAACCAAAGACTGATTTGTACTCTTTGGCCTTCCAAAACAGCACTGGCGGATCATCCGCCTGATCAAACCAGATCCGACCAGGTCAGACCGAGTTTCCTTCCTTCGACAATCATCTGATCTGATATCGGCCCATGCTCCGGTCTCTCGCCGCCTATGCCATCACCGTCATCATCATCATCATCATCATCACCACCACCCCCAGTACCCGCTCATGCCACTTAGCAGTACGGAGTAGTCGATTGTTTCTAACTATATGATCATCGTTGGCTGCGTCAACTCTATCCAGTCCGGGCTGCCGCAGCCCTTCGTGCAGTCGCACTTGAAGGGGCTTGAGAAGCAGCTTAATCTCTATCGCGAAAGCCAAAATAGATGCGCAAGTGCGAGGAAGCTTTGAGCCCGGCATTAATCCGTTCTGTTATTTGTCCTGGGCCCCGACGGCTCGGCTACGTGGAGTCAACATCCCCTTTCCCCACTGGCCAGGGAGGCCTTGACCGGAGATGCTTGCTTTAACGATTCCGTCAGAATTTGTGCCACCGTGGTCAAAATTCTGGGGTCGAAGAGGGGGGTTGCTTGCTTAGTTCGATCCGCGCGAAGTGGTGTAGACTACTTACTGTACCAGCTCAATGTCATACCACATGGTTTGATGATGACGGACCAACCAGCTGCGACGCTCCTCGTATCGTAGTCTCCATGCTGGCTGCTGTCCCAGGTCCCAAATGGAGGAGACCGACTGGTTGAATTAAAAGGCGCACCCATTGACCCTTCAGACCCCTATGCACCCAGCCCATACTGTACTGTACCTGTCGGAATTTCCTAGTCAGTAGGCAGCTCGTCAGCTTTTCTCGGTTCACTGAGGCCCGATTCGATCATTCCACCGCTATCGACATCCTGGTGGATAATGTTGGACTGACTGACTGACTAGCGGTCAAGAAGCTATAAGTAAGTTTGCTACTCTTAGTATTACGTACCCAGTAGGTATTTGACAGTCTTCGAGATCTAATGTGGGTTATTTTCAGAACTGAAGTACAACTAACTACGTACACAGTGTATTCCGCAAAAAGCTTCCGTTCAAGATGACAATAGTCAAGCCGTTCTCTTCTTCCTGTATCCAAACAGAGTCATGTTTGACTGGTAGTCAATAGCACTAACTTAGCATGTAGTTGTCAACTCAACGTACTAGTTATGGCTTAGTTGTTTGATAACTTGTTTCAAGTGATTCAATGGGTTCATCAAGCCGTTTCTTCCCTTGACCGTATCGGAGTACGGCTCGTTCTCCTCCCGAACTGAATCAATACGGCCGGCTGTGCTCTCTACAATACTATGGGTAACCCGTCATCGGCCAGGCTGTTAGGACATAGAGCCGAAGACCATTTGGGATACAAAATACACCGCGATATGTGATAATGAGCCCCATTGTTTCGTTGCTTCACCCTCCTTCTCCTTTGACCAACCGGTAGGCGATCAGACCGAACGGCAGTTGACCACTCCTGCAGCAGCTGGGCATGAGCTAAGGTGCGGGAGAAAATCACCTCGCATCCGTCATCCCGGGCCGGATTCCCCAGATGCACAGCTACGAGCGAGCGGAAGGGGAGGAGAGGGGAAGGCAGGGGAAAGAGAGAGATGAAAAAGAGAAAAAAGCAAAAACAGAAAAAGAAAAAGAAAAAGCAAACACGCATTGCATCTGCAGTTGAAACTCCGATCCGATCTTATAGGGCATGTACACTACACCTTACACGAGCCACTTCCTAATCCGCGTGGCTATAAAGGAAGGGGAAAAGAGAACGTCTCTAAAAAGTGAAGTCATTCCGGTTGCTAATACAAGACTTTGATTACTGTATAAAATTAATCGGATGATTGGAAAGGAAACACAGAGAGATTCATAAACTACGGATACTAAAGTAGCGCAGACTGCGTAAACAATTCGTTCCCCCGCGATACACAAAAACCAGGGTTAGTTAGCTTGATCATGTTCCATCGCCCAGCACGGTTTAGATTCCGATGCTAGAAAGGAACACCTGAATTCCATCGGAGATGGTTCCCCACATTCAGCGGGGCTGCATTGTTGTTTCTACTGTGTTGCTGCGACGTGCCTACTTCTCCCTGTCTGTCTGTTCGTGTGTGTGCGCGCGCATCTATACATGATTTTACGTGAGTATAGAGCTAGCCTAAATAAGAGTGGATAGACAAGCACTTTGTACCGGAAGAGAGGTATGACAAGAACGAATGGGCTCCTCGGTTGTCTCTTGTTGTTGGTCGCAGTGCCGACGTCGGACATTTCGACTTGAAATTTCCATTGGCTGCAAAAAATCCCTCGTGCAAACTGGATCTCAGCAGTTAGCTTAGACTACTAAGTTGACTACGTACTTGTACAGTACGTAGTACTCCCCGTAATTCGAGTAGGCAAATCACTCAATTCACGATCATTATCAACTTGTGACGGACTAAGGTAGTTGACTGACTAACTAATTCCACAACTAGTTAACTATCTATCCATCAGCTTACTCAAAGTCACCTTCGATAACTACCTTCAGTTTTCGGCTCCCGTCTGGTCAAAGCGCTACATTCCGGCCAGTCAAAATGAGCTTGGCTGAGCGATCACTCATGCCTAGCCGGACTATCTTTGCAGTTAATGACAAGTCGCGTAGACTCGAATGCAAGGTTGCCCCTCCCATTTGATCTTCATTATCTTCGCGGCCTTTGTATTTAAGGTTAGACTTTTAGTATGAATGAGTGAGGTGACCAGCTGAGGGGTAGGTGAATTGCAGTTTAGGGGTGGTTGGATCACGGATGGATGGGCTGGCAAGTCTACTCCGTATAGCTTACTGCGGAAAGATGAGTGATGGCAACATGGTTATCAACCGGATCTCCGCAAATAGGCGCATGGAAGAATAAATTGACTGCTGCATGGTTGGCATTGTGATCCCTACCTTAATAACAATAGCCAATTGCATACTACCTATCATGCCTGGGGTTACCTCTCCTTACCTGGCACCGAGGCTATTCCTTCCCCACTGCTTGTGTCCTCTGGCAGTATGTAGGCGGGTTATCGCTGGCCAAGGAAGCCCACGTCATTGCGCCCAGCCCTAGGTAGGAAATGTTGTCGAGGTCCAAGTGTGTATAGTATGTGTGCGTTATATCTAGAGACTAGAGGGCTGCCACTCATAGGTATGTAGTGACTTCCAAGCCATGAAATTGCCAGTCTTCAAGATGCTCGGCGGTGCAATGACCGCCAGATGGCCCAAGGGTTCCCTTGACCCTGCGTCCTATCGTTGCTTGTCTCCAGAGGGGGTGCTACAACGAGATTGTGTCCGACGTTGTCAAGCATGCCTAGCGGTCGAGTTTAGCTTGCTCACGACCTCCTTCTATCCTGTTTTCCTGACATCTGCTGACCCTCGCGGAGCCAGCATTGGTGTATGACTGATAGTTGACTCCGGTCGAGCAGCAATGGATTCTCGCCAAATCAGAGACCAGATATGTACTCAATGTACTCATAGGAAGATGATCTGATCACTGTCTCGGAGATAGCACACGAAGGCCAATGACTCTCTCAAGCTAAACTCTAGCCTCCCACGCGAACCCCCTCCTTCTCTTCAACGCCTTTTTTTTTCTCGAACGAGCCATCAGTGCGTCCGGCTCTGGGTTCTGTATGAGGAAGCTCATTCGATACGCCGCAGCAGGGTGTCAAATCAATTGTTGACCATGCCAATGAGGGTTTACAACTGACGAGCTATGTTGCAGGGACAGAGGTAGATCAGAGCGCTGCGGTCGACTGTTCCATGTTCCCGAGCAACCAAGACGCACCCACATGGCAGGTAGTACACAGTACATAGGACTGTACTCATGTAGATCAGTATGTTTCAGCCTCTCGTCAATCGAAGAACTCAGTCGGGTGCACTGCAGGGCAGTCTGGCAAATGGGGCCGAGTCTGATCCGATGGAGGGGTTAGCCACCTACTCAGCATCTAGGATGCATCTGCACTTATAACATCGATAGCGGGGCTTTGGGGCACAGGTAGCGGAAAAAGGCAGAGGCGGACAGCTTATGATGGACCGAAAATGGATCCCAGAAAAGAGATTTCAGGCAAAGAGGGGTTTCCTACCCCCATTCTGACTTTCACATACTTACCCCTCAGTTTGCGGGTAGCCTGATTTCACAATTGAACTATGGGCAAATCAGAGTGGGGAGTAGCAAGACGTAGCAAGACGCCACCGGCCAGCTTGCTGCACTCCGAAAGAAGCGCCACACCAAAGCTATATGACATACATATACCATGAAGACTACGATTTATTCCTATGTAGTATTAGAATATCTCAGTCTGAGTCTCGATCTGACCACCCACTCAAGCTGGAGCCACCGAGTTGACTTGATGATGGTCGATGATGATAGCGATGGTGATGGTGATGATGGGGGTTGGATTGAGGCTGTGCAGAATGCAGGGCGTCTTCAGCAGTTCTGAACCTACTCGTTAGTTTAAATTGTCTGAACCTTACTTGCCGATTACTGTACTTAGCTAGTTATCTTGAAATACTCATAAGTTAGTTAACAGACTTACTCATATGTAATCACCCAGAGCTGCTGAGCTGAGGGTTGACTAATCCATTTCCCGCGGGCGAGGGAGCTAACGTCATCTACAAATTGTGCGAGGTCAAGCGAGTCCGGTCCTTCTTACATACTCGGTATTTCCGATCACGGACAGTGAACGTCATTCGACTAGAGCAAAGGAAACAGCGGAGAATAATCAGAAAAAGACCATCAGACTCCTCGAGGGGGAACTACGCTTTATGACGATGGGTCAATGAGTCAATGGGTCAAGAAGTGGCAGCAGGGGAAGGGGAACCAGAAATGATGAATGTGAACGGCTTAATTCCAGGGATCTTCATGAGAATTCTCACAGGACGCCTGTCTTCACTTAGCCCCCCCTAAACCAAGTTAAGAAGGTTAAGGGGAGGCCAACGCCCGCGCCACTTTGTTCTTGCTTATTGTTACATTCTTAGTACTCCGTACCGTTGGCAGCATGCCCTGGTTGGTTTCGTATTTGTTCAAT